CTCTCCCAAACACCCCCCCAGTACCTATCCTCAATCCCAGAGAGCGTCGCCCCCGTAACCATCTTAAAGCCCCAAGCCTGGTGCCCATTCCAACGCCTGTCCCCACAGGGATCCCAGCCCCCCAGCAGCCCCTGGGCCCTGTCCAGGTGGGAGGCAGGGGACTCACACAGGAAGGAGCAGCTCTCTGCATGCCTGGGGCTTGCTCCGGCTCGGGCTCTTTGGAGAAGGACGGGTCGTAGGTCTTTGATCTGAAAGGCACCGTCTTAAAGCCCCAAGCCTGGTGCCCATTCCAACGCCTGTCCCCACAGGGATCCCAGCCCCCCAGCAGCCCCTGGGCCCTGTCCAGGTGGGAGGCAGGGGACTCACACAGGAAGGAGCAGCTCTCTGCATGCCTGGGGCTTGCTCCGGCTCGGGCTCTTTGGAGAAGGACGGGTCGTAGGTCTTTGATCTGAAAGGCACCGGAGGCCAAAGATGAGAGCAGCGGAGCCCTGGACGGGGTGCGGGGTCCCCACAGGGCAGGGCTGGTCTGGGACGGGGGGCAGCTGGCAGCACAGTGAGGCACCGAGCAGGCTTGGGGGGAGGGTACATTGCAGCACAGCTGGGGTGGGCCAGATGTGAGGTGCCTGCTTGGGGGGAGGGGCAGGTCTCACCTGATGAGGCTGGGGTGCTTCCTTTGCTGGGGGGCATTGCTCCCTGTCTCCTCCAGGCTCTGCCACTTCTGCTCCAGCATCTTCTTCTTGCTCCTCTTGAGCTTCCCGGAGCTGGCGGCAGGGTCGGCCAAGCAGCTGGGATGGGCAGAGAGCAGGGTGGAGTGACAGGTGCCCTGGCCAGGAGCCGTCTCCATGCCCCTGTCCCGCCACTGGGACTCCCTCCTGGCCGCTGGCCAAGCCGCCCTGCCCAGCCCATCCTTTCCCGCGGGCGGGGGGTGCTGCCCTAGGCCGCGGAGAAACCCCAGGGACGTGTGGGGTGTCGGTGCGCGAGGCGCCCGGGGCAGCAGAGCGATTCCCACCGGCTTTGCCCTGCTGCTGCCCCTGGCTCTGGGGTCCTTAGAGCGGGGGAGAGTGCCACAGCCTGGTGTACCTGGACACGGGGCAGGGCTGTGTTCACAGCACGGCAGCCTGGGGGCAGCAGGGGGTGGGTACCCACCCACCTCTGCCCTGGGTTGGGCTCCTCCCTCCCACTCCCCCCCCAGCCCCTCGGTCCCAGACAGGCCCATCAGATGGCGCTGGGGGGAGGCACGCCATGCCCCAGCCCCCCACCCCTCCAGAGAGGCAGAGGGGCAAGGGGAGCAGAGCAAAAGGGCCAACGAGCTGCGTGAAAATCCTATGGCCATGACAGGCCAACGGCAGTCAGCCCCGGTCCCAGGGCCGCTGCTCCCCCTTCACAATCTGCACAGGGGCGGCACGGCCCCTCTGTCCTGCTTCTCCACGGCAGGGGACGTCCCATCAGCAGCTCTCAAAGCACTTTACGAAGGAGGGTATTTGATGGAGGGGGAAACTGAGGCACGGAGAGCTGTGTGAGGTCAGCCAGCAGGCCTGTGACAGCTGGCGGTAGAACTCAGGTGTCCTGAGCCCCAGTCCAGTCTATCAGCCCACCCCCAGCACAGCCCCAGAGAGTGCAAACCTCCAGCGGCCAGAACTCCCGTTTTACACAGTTACTGGCTGCAAGAAGTCACTCCGTTGCCAGCATAGACCAGAAAGCGCCCGTAACAAGCCTCTGAGTATTGCGCTCAGCTGGCGCGTTTCCTCTAGCTAGCCGGATAGCGTGGGTTGATCCATCTGGTATCACTTGCAACCTCTTCAGTCCTGCTTTTTGTGTTTAATAAAATCCCTTTTGTTTGTCATTAAACCCACTGGAAAGAGCTGTTGCTGGGGGTGGGCGGCAGCTGGGCATATCTGCATCGCTCTTCCACTGAGCAACTTCTGAGCCGGCTCTAGATAAAACATTTATGTGGGGTTCAAATAGATTTATCTGGGGTTTGACCAGGGGGCTGCATCTACGCCTTCCCAGAGCTGAGCTGCTCTCAGTGTCTGTGCTGCTCTGCTGTGGGCTGTGACCCCCTCTCTGTGCCTTTGCTGGAGGAGACCAGAGGGTCTGGCTCAGCAGATCGGGGTGATGGGGTGCCCCAGAGGGCAGGCAGACAAACTCAGTGCTCGGATCAGCCCATCAGGCGACAGTCTCCAAGGAATCCCTGTGACCAAACCCATCATAGCTGTAATTAGCTGGAAGTTAATAATACCGCTTGTGCAGAGACCGTGCAAGATCACTTTCAGGTTGTGTAATATCTTGCAAGTCAGATGGTAACCCTACCAAGGCAGAGTCGACAGCCCTGACCCTGAGCTATGAAACTGGAGGGACTCACTATGAACTAGATTATGGAGCCTTTGAATTTTGCTTCCTAAGGCAAAATAAAGGAGACAAACCCCCATGCTTCAGGGCAGAACCTGACCTTGAATCATGGGGGTCAGGAGGGAAGTCAGGGTTCCAGGGCTCCTGGCAGTGCTGGCACACAGCATGTAACAGGAATAGGGAGGTGACGTGGGGGCCAAGTGTCATGGGCCCTCAGAGAAGAAGGGAAGTGGAATCCAGTGGCTAGGGAGTGAGCCTGGCACTTGAAAGACCTGAGTTCAGAACCAGCTTTGCCACAAGCATCCCGAATGCCCTTAGTCATGTCACTTAGCCTGCCCGTGCCTCACTGCTCCCTCTGTGCACTGAAAGATTAGCACGCCCCAGACTCTCAGCCATGTTGGAGCATAAACATGTTTGCTACCTGCTGGTGTTAAAATCCTTGGGGGGAATCCCAGAGTCAATATACCCCACCCCATGCATGCATGGCAAAGGCACACTGGCACCACAGGCACATGCTAAGCAGCCGTGACTCCATCCACACACCCAGCTGGGGCCTGATGAAGCAAAACCTGAAAAGAAAAGGAGCCGTTCCCCTCCTATCCCCGTCACACAGCCCCAGCCCTGCCTGCGTGTTTCCCGCTGGTGTCAGTGCAGGTTCGCTGGACAGCGTGGGATTTTGTGGGCAAGAGCAGGACGCCTGGGTTCTGTTCCCAGCCTGCAGACTTGGAGGCAGCATCCCTGGACTGGCAGCGCTGGGAAGAAAGGTTCCCTAGTGGTTGGAGTGGGGGGGAGGACCCCTATGCTCCAGTTTCAGTGTGACCCTGGTTTGACACACAGGGACGGGCAAAAATGTCTATGGCTCAGCATCCCCCATAGCTAACAACCCCCCCCCCCCAGAGCACAGGGACTTGGAGTTTCTGCTGCTCTGGGTGTTGGGAGGGGCGGGGAGGAGATCAGGCGTGCTCAGCGCTGTGCCTCCGGTCCCCAGGGCTCCTGTCTTCCCACCTCTCTTGTAAAGATCCTGCAGGGGGGCCAAAGCCCCCCACCCCAGCCCAGATCAGAGCCCGCCAACGCGCAGCCTGTACCTCGCCACTGAGACAGCCGAGGGGGTGCGTCCCACCCCTGCGCCCAGCTTCATGGCCCCAGCTCCCCTGGGCTCCAGCTCCGGGCTGTCTGCCTCACTCAGTTCTCATGCGCCTCCAGTTCCTGCCCTTCAGCAGCCTCCACCCCATGCCTGCCTCCTCTGCAGCTTGCTCAGCTCCTGGGCCCAGCCCAGTGAGGCTGTAATTGCAACCCAAACTGCATTTCCTTAAAGGGCCAGGCCCAGAGAACGAACACGCTTGCTGCAAGCACGTGGCACCCGCACATTCCTCTCCTGTGAGTGTGGAGCTCCCTTCCCAGCCGCTGCCAAGCAGGTCCTGCTATGAATGCAGAGGCCGGGGCGCCTTTAGTGAGCAACTGCTGACCCAGACACTCCCCAGCCCAGAGCTGCAGTGTGGGCGGGAGGGGGCATGGCCGTGCGCACCGCTGGCCGTAACCGCTGTTTGCTTAAACCCTCAGCTCCTGGAGTCCTGTGAGAGCCACAGCTTGTAATTAAACCAGAAAGGTTGTTTCCAGCCTTTGTGGTTGCAGAGAAACCCCGGCAAGGTTCCAATGTTCCCTCTAATCTTTTCCATCCATCCGTGTGCAGAATAAATGTTTTGTCTGCACCGAGGCATGTGCGAATGCGCACCCCCCACTGAAACACAAACCTAGCCCTGGGTGCTCTGCTAATCAGCTGGAATGTCTCCTGAGCGGCCGCACACGTGCCCAGCATACAAGGAACACTGAAGGCAGCCCCAGGGGTGCGAAAGCCAGAAAGCAAATACAAAACTATTTTTTATACAATTTGATTTTAAACCAATCTCATAATTTGGGAGGCGGGGGAGACGACAGATTTTTGAATATCTGAATTTGGCAGATCTTATTTACCTGCACAATATTTTCAGATAATGTTGGGTTTATTTTCCAGAATGATCAGAATTATCTACATTTTTCATCACTGACTGTTTTCAAAAGAAGTGTTTTTAGGGCAGGATTTTTCCCTAGAAAAAAACAAATTGTATTTTGAAACTTTAAAGAACATTTTTAATTGCTTGGGGAAATCCCCAAACAGCCTGGCACAGCCCAGTCCACACTCTGCCCCCACCTGGTTTCAGCTCCTCCCCAGCGCTGTGCTGCAGCTGAGAGGCAGAAGAGCCCATGGAGCGAAAGGAGACTCATACAGCATCCTCTCCAGCCTGCTGCACGCTATCTTCTAGGATGGGGGTGGCGGGGATTTTTAGGAGCCCTTCCCAAGTTATCCTGCACAAACAGAAGCTGCATCTACCTCTGGTGAGAGGCAGAGGGGGCTGGTGTGTACCAGCCACTCGTGTGCACTTGGGCAGAGATTAGGATGGCCAGTCCTGCCAAGGATCATTAATGTTTTCAGTGCCTGGGGTATGCAGCCCTGCCCCCACAGTAAGGGGTCACCCTTGCTTTGCGAAACAGGCGCTACTGCCCAACAGATTGGGGAATGGGGCTGGTGGAGAAGGCAGCAGGACAGTGAAGTCAAAACCTTCATACAGGGGAAGCGGCTTTGGCTGGCATTCCAGCTGCGCTGCTCTGTTCCACCCCAGAGATGGCTGCATTTCAGTGGGGGGAGAGCTCTAGAGTGGGAGGAGAGCCCTAGAGCTGGTAGCAAAGCTGTGGCCATAGAGAGCTTATTCAGAGCTGTTTCTATAGTCACTGCAGGTAGGTGTCACAGCCGGAACAATGTCTGGCAAGCAGCTAAATAGACCCCCCGGATTTCATAGATGTCACGTCGGAACTGACCGCTCCTTTGCGCTCAGAATGCTTTTGTAGCATCTTCTGGGCGGGAGATGAATTCAGGCCCCATCTCGGGCGCCCCCTCCCTTTCCCGGCATCGGGCATGTCTGGCCTCTTCCCTGGGAGGCTCGGTTTCTGGGGCAGGAGTGGAGTGTGGCAACGCCGGGCCTTGGGGGGGTTAAACCTGAGCTGGCTGAAGGAGAGAACCCCAGGCCCAGCGCTCGTTCCCGGCTTCTAGCCGAGCTCCCGTGGGATCTGGAGCCGCTCACCCTGGCCAGCCTGCATCTTTCTTATTTACTGTTGGCCCCCGCCAAGGATCAGCTCCCACTGCCTCACCTCCCCCTCTCTGAGACCCTTGCCCCACGGGGCTTGCAACCCGCAGGCAGACAGGCCCTGAAGGCTGAGGCCCAGAGGCCCCTGGCAGGAAGTGTTCAGGGTGCTGGGGCAGGCCTGTGTGTTTTGCTGGAAGGCTTTGCCATGCAGGGGTGTGCGGGCAGGAGAATTGGGCAGGCGAGGCTGCTATGCCCAGCGGAGTGCAGGTGGGATCCATGGCTGACACTCAGGCATCTGACCCTGGGTGGGGTAGGATGGCAGAGAGCCTTAAAGGAGCTGGTGTGGGACGTGCTGCTCGTTATCCAGACATGCACATCCCTCCCCAGCAGACCCCTACTGCCAATCCCTGGCGAGCACTTTCACGCTGCCCCGCCCAAGTTCACTGGAACAGGTCCTGGGCCCACACCGTAAAACCACCCCCTTGTCCTGCACGGCCTCCTCCAAACTCCCCTCCTCGCCAATGCAGGGGGCAAAGTTCTGCCCGGGAATTGCTAGGAATTAGCCATAGCTAAGGCTGTGAGTCTTTCACGGATCCCGGGACCTCGAGGATGCCAGGTGTCCGGTTCTGAACCAGACAGTCCGGTATTTGAGCTTTCGGATCGGGAACCAAATTGAGAGAATAGAACTGTCCGGTATTTCCTGGATCAGATGGGATGTCGATTGGGATGTCATGTCAGGTGTGTCTGGGATTTTTGTTGAAACCATCTGGCAACCCTAGGGACCTCCCTGACTTCTGCAGCTGCGGTGGTGGGTGCAGGTGACCTTGGGTTGCCTGAGCAGCTGGGGCTACCCCAGGGCCAACCACACTGGCTGCTGCTCCAGCGGCCCCAGGCAGCTAGTCCCAGGCAATCCCCACCCGCAGGAGAAGTAGCGATGGTGGTGGATCCCCAGTTCCTCCCCAGCCCCTAGAAGGGGGATTGGTAGCACAAGTAACCGGCCCCAAATGTTGTTCATTGTCCATGACCTGTCTGTCCCTGCATCCTAGCCCTATCCAGCGCCCATTTCCTTTATTGATCACCCCGTCTCCCTCGTGTTCCATCCACCTACGGCCTTTTGTCTTTGGAGTGAACTTTCTGGGACAGGGATTTGTAGCAACTGGCATGAACCTGGAGGGAGGAGCACAGGCTACAGGAGGGAAGAGTTTGGGGAAGGCACCCCGAGTCAGGCTGGATGCACGTGGCTGGGATGTTGCTGCAGCGTCAGCTCTTCTATCCATTGTCCTGCTTGTAAAGAGCCTCTTTAGTTTTAGGCCTGGAGTCCTTCCCTGGGCTTACCCAGCCCACAGCCCACGGCCCACGGCCCACGGCCCACGCCACGACTGTCCTGTTATATTTGTACAGCACCCAGCACAAGGGGCTTGGGCCTGTCCGTGGCTTTTAGACGCTGCTGCAATATTAATGTTCAATAGCGAAGCCTCGACGCTGCAGGGCTAGAGAGACACCGAGATCGAATCTCTTGCTAATTGGGGTTTGGTGGCTAGACCTTGGCACCAGGGGTCGGTCACTTCCGCTAACCAAGTCCCTCCCAGAGCCCCCTGCTGTGCATTCAGGATGGATGCATATTACTGACCTAGCTCTCAGCAGCACTTTACATCAGTTGATCTCTACGCACTTCACAAAGGAGGTCAGACTCCTTGCCCCCGTTGCACAGATGGGGAAACCGAGGCACAAGGAGCCCAGACTACTTGCTGAAAGCCACCCTGCAGGCCAGTGGCAGAGACAAGAACAGAGCCCAGCTGATCTCCCCGAGCAGTAGTCCAGCGCTCTCCTCTGGACCACAGCGTGCCCAGGCCCCCGCCTCCTGACAGAGCCGCCAGACAGGGCTTTGTGCTGAGTGATGCTGGTTTCTAGTCACAGAGCCTGCTAAGCGTAGCAGCTAGTTCTCCAGCTTGTCTGGGGCGGGGGTCAGGGGGTCCCATCTATCCCCAGATCATGTCTGGAGATGTTTGGTCAGCGCAGCGGCGGTAGGATCCTGCCAGGACAAAGGGGCTGGAGGCGAAAGGACAGCGCAGGGCTGGGCTGAGCCGTGATCCAGAATCCACCTGACAAACCGCCCGACTCCTCCCCAGTGGCAGAGGAAAGTGAAAATCAACCCGCCCCTGCGGGCTCGCTCCCCGTCCTTTCACGGCGGTTTGCACCTTGCCCCAGTGCCCGGCCCTGCCGAGATAACGCCTTGTGGGGCACGTGATTATCTGGAACGGCCGGGTCCTGCTGGGAGTGCTCAGCATGGGGCCCATCGGCACGTCCTGGGGGCCCGGGCGCACTGCGGGGCTGCACTTGGGGCAGTGGAGGAGCCACACACACGGCGAGCGGGGGGAGGAAGAGTGCGTCCAAGCCGTGGTTGAAAGGGGGAAGGCCCAGCTGGGGCATCCTTACATGTAGCCTTGTTCCTGGTGTGAACCCAAACTCAGCAGAGCGAGGGAGCTGGGCCAGGACTCTGCCTCCTCTTCCCAGTGCTGACCTCGGGCAAGTCACTTTCCCTTCCGTACCCGCATTGCCCCAGCTGGGACACAGGGAGGGGATATTCCTGCCCCGCTGCAAACCCCATGGGTGCAGGGTTATGCAGTGCAGGGACTTCCCTTTGCAGCCGACAGTCCCTGCTATGAGTCCATGGCTGCAGCCCGACAGCATGCCTGGGGGGGATTACCATGATCCCTCTTGTACAGATGGGGAAACTGAGGCATGGACTGGGGCTGCCACTTGCCCAATGTCACCCACAGAGTGCGTGGCAGGGCTGGGCGCGGAGCCCAGGTCCCAGGCCTCACCCACAAAGCCACCCTCTGTGCCGAGTGGAGATGCCCAGGACCGAGCAGATCGCTGGGTTCCCTCCCGGCTCTGCCCGGCTCGCTGAGCACCATGTGCTGGTCAGGCCCTTCAGGGCTGGAAATGCTGGACTCAAGTGCTGCCCAGCCCGGGCTGCCCTGCTCTCGGAGGGGAGTGATGGGCAGTGACTGGCGCCCGCCTCTGGTCCCTGCACAGGGCAGCCGGCTGAGCGCAGACCCTGCCCCCGACTCAGTGAGGCCCCCCCAGCAGAACCTGAACACCACCCCCGGCCAATCTCCCTGGAACCTCCCCCGGCTGTAGGTCTTTCATCCGGCACCCTCTAAGCACTGACTCCCTGGCAACTGACCTGGCCTCTGGACAAAATCTGCTGCTGCGGGCCCTGAGAGCAAGGCAAAGTCTGTGGGCAGCACAGCCCTGCCCCAGCACCTCCAAAGAACAGATTCTGTGGCACTGCCTTCCTTGGCAGGGGCCAGCCTTACAACCATCCCCAGATGGGGAAACTGAGGCACAGAGCCCGTAGCTGATTTGTCCAAAGTTACATAGGAAATCTGTGGTCAAGGCAGGGGCTGAACCCAGGACATGCAGCGAGAGGAATCAAACCCAATGCACACTTGGACACAAACCCAGAAGAACCCTCAAGGCACCCCCCAGGGAACTTCAGGGGTGAGCATACGCAGACGTAGGAATGTCTTCTCTGTCACTAGCACGCGGCTGGTGTATTTCTGCATAAATGCCAAGCAGGGACCCCCGCTCGCGGGGCAGAATCTGGATTAGCTTGGACTGGCGAGGACAGACCGGACCGAGCTTTCTCCACACGTGTAGGGCGCTGGAACGAAGGGTGATGTCCCAATGCCTGTTTGCCATCACTGCAGGTTTGGTCACTGGTGTGCAGCTCCCCCATGGCAAACACTGTCCCAGCGCCCTGCTGTGTAGGGCTTCAGGCCTGCCAGGCCTGAGCCCCAGCACCTCTGGGCCCCCTGGCACCTCTGGGCGCAGGTCAGAGCCCCAGCACCTCTGGGCCCCCTGGCACCTCTGGGCCTGGCAGGGCTCAGATCTGGCGCCTCTGGGCCTGGCAGGGCTCAGATCTGCCACCTCAGTTATGAAAGTAAAATGCTGCTTGAGCCCTGGCGCCTTTCGTTACCAGCTGAGCCCTGCTGCCGTGTGCCCATCGCTAGCAGTGCCTGCCTGAGGTGGCTGGGCACAGAGAGACACGGCAGCCCCCATCCCGAGGGCTGCACCTCAGGGCAGGGTGGCAGTGCGTCCCATGGGGCAGGGCGATGGAAGGGCTGGCCCCAGGGGAGAGCCCGCTCCTGGACCCCTAGAAGGGGAAATCCACTTACAGCTCCCCGGCCCCGCCCAGGGCACTGTCCGCTTCGCTGCACGGGGGCTCCATCCGGCAGGCCGCCCCCGGCCCCTG